ATTTTCCGTATTGTCAATATCTGGTGAGTCTATATTTATTTCGTTTGTAGATTTTATTTCAGTAATTTGTCATTCATTTTTTGCTAAACTACCTCTATAGTTTTGGTTTTGTCAAGTTGGATATTGTGAATTGTTTCGCCGAGGTGAGCAAAACGAGGTTCTACGGGGCTTAGAATGTGAGCGAATCGTTTCGACAAATTTACTTGAGTTTCTGAATTTTCCGAATTGTCAATATCTGGGGAGTCTGGAGGTGTTTCTTCTGTAGATTGCACTTGAGTAATTGGTCGTTTAGGCTTTGTGTACTACCTCTATAGTTTTGGTTTTCTGAAATTATATTTTGTGAATTGTTTGCTCATATTCTAAACCTCATTGAATAGTTTCTTGATCTATGTTGATGATTATTAATTCTGCTTCTTGAACCATTACGGTGTATTTTTTTTGTAGTTTTTTTTAAATGATCTGTTGTTACAACAACTTAGTGATCTGTTGTTCTATTTTGTCTAAAAAAATTTCCATTGCGGTTGTATAAAAAATTTCTTGATGATCATTAAAAGAGTACCTATTTCGAGAACTTGAGTCTGAACGACTTCTATTTTAGTTAGATTGGTTATTTCTGGTGGAGTCTGATCTGGAATAATTAATTCTATACTATTTGTTTTGACTATTTGTTCTTCTACATAGGTTGTGTGAATACTTTTTATAGTTCGTCTGGTGATCTGCTATTAGGGGATTGTGATCTGCTATCACTATAGCTAGTTGGAAGTGGTTTAACTGAGCTAATATTAATTTGAACGTTTTCGTTTAATAAACTCTGATATTTTGTCTTGTGTTTGTAGAAAAACTCATTTGGTTGTTTGTACTTTGCTGGTGTATTCGAATTATCTTGCTGTTTTTGTTTACATTCAGCAGTACTATGTTCGTTTCTGCGGCAAAAGTTACACCATTTCTTGAAGGAAGGTTTGCCCCTATTATTTGGGTTTTGCTCTCATATGTTCAGATTATGAGTGGTTTGTTCTGCTAGTTCATTATCGGAGTCTTGGATTTTTTTATTTGTGAATTTGTGGTTTGAACATTAAGCACGTATTGTAGTTTTAAATTTTCTGTTTCCTCTAGTTTTTTTTCTGTCTCTAATTCTAATTTGTCTACAAATTTTTGAAAACCTATATCGGTTTCACGGATTGATGATGAATGTGATGCTCTTTTTTTGCAATTTCTTCTTCTTGTGATGTTGAAAACATCATTAGAAATTCTCTCATTTCCGTAATCTTGTATCATGTGTGCTGAGACAATAAGCTTTTCGTGAGAGTTTCGGTTGTTTCTGCAAGTTATTGTATCGCTTCATTCAGAAGTTACGAGTTTCGTTACATGAAACTCTTTGATGCTGTTTGTTTCATTCAGAATCGAACATTTTTAGAAAATTCTTGAAAAAAAATGTGTCCAAACAAATTTAATTTCAATGAGTAAAATTGAAAAAAAAATTAGGCTGCGCCGTCGAGTGTGGTTTGTATCAGTGCTGTACGCTTTTGAATCCGATTTTGATGAAGTGGTGTGCTTATAGACTCTGGGCCTATGTTTAAGTTTAGGTTTGCTGTAACAGCGTTTATGTAACCTCCTTTTGAGAATTAAAAGGTCTCTGCCTGTGATTACCATGAGGGTTTTATTAAACAATAAAGGTGATCCACCCATAAGCTATGGATTCATTGTCATTTGCAGTGAATCAGCTGTTTTTGGTTTTTGTGTAAGTTTTGTATGTTGATTTTTTTGTTGTTTCATGTTGTTGTAAATAGTAATTAACATGATTTCAAGTTTCATTGATTCGGGTTGGTAACCTTGAGTGTTTTTTTTCGAGATTGCATGATTTTACTGGTTTGTCCCAGTTTTTGTTTTCAAAACGATTGCTGTTGCATTTTTCGTGGTTGTTGGGAAATTATATAAGGTTCGAAAACATCTGGTTGAAAAATATAATCTGGCTGAACTTTATCGTTTCAGTGATTTTTTGTTGAATTTTATTATGCTATCTTTGTTTTCAATTAAAGTACTTATCGTTCTCAGAGTTAAATTGTTGATTCGTTGTGAATTGCCTAATATTTAGAGTGTTTTTGTTTTGCTGAAAAAAATGGGTAATTTTCAGTGCGGTCTGTCGGCGTTTTTTTTCTCATTAAACAAATACTGATTTGGATACTAGTTTTGGTATCTGTATGGTATAATTATGTTCATGAGATTTTTTTTGTGTTGAGTAAAGTGTTCCTGCTATTGGATTGCTAATGTTAAATTTGCGAAAAAATCATAACTGTGGTTTGCAAAGATAGTGTCGTTTAAGCGTTTTTGTTTATGAGATTGTCGCTTTTTGGTAAATGGCCTATTTCTTTGATAAACCGTATGCGAATATTTGGGAACGACGGATGGTGTAACTGTTGATTGCAATTTCGTTTGTGAAAAGAAGGATTGTTTCTTGATGGTGTTGTAATTGTAGGATGTTTAGGTGAGATACTTTGTGGTGTCATTGTTGGTAGCGTTTCGACTTTTTCTTTGCTTACGAAATTTGATGGAGTTTTGATATCTTGTTGTGTTAGATTTCATGTTCCGTTAACTGTTTATAGATGTTGAATTTAAACTGATATTGCATGTAGTTTCAATAAATTTTGTGTTTTAATTTTAAAGTGTGGTATCAGTTGTAAGTGGAGTTACTCTTAAATAAACTCTGTGTACTGAAATGGTTGCAATTGCTGCAATTGAGTTATCGTTTAGATTTTTGAAAAAAATACATGAGATCAATTCAGGATCCCAAAAATAGTCTGTTTTGTCTCCCAATATTGTCTGATCGTTCGTTTGTGATCGAAACTTTTTTCTTTCTTGTGAAGTTAAATCTAAGTTGTGATGAAAAAAGTCTTCAAGAATCAAGCTAAGATTTTCTTAGATCTACTTAAATTACTGTGATATTTCTTTGTCAGTGAGTGCTTGACGAAATGATTCTAAAAATGTGTGAAACGATTTTTTTCTCGTTTTACTAATGCGTTTCGAGATATTTGTGGTAGCGATACATAAAATGTTTCGATAGTTTCTAATATAGAAATATAACTATAAATGATAGAGAAAACATCATTTGTGAAACTTGGGATTCGTTTTTTCTTGAGCTTGGATGTTGAAATTTTTTAATATCTACTGTGAACACTTTTGAGAATTATAATTCAAAATTAGCTATTTGTTTTTGGTGTGATGATTGATCTGATTATTGTGGTGGTAGAACTTCGATTGTATTGCTTTCTTTTTTGTTTGTTTTTCCGATCTAGTGTTTTCACTTTTTTGTTTATGTGGTGTAATTACCAGATCATATCTTTCGTCTTTAATCAAAAATAGTTTGGAGTTTTTTTGTTTGTTTGTTTCCTAAGTTAACTCCCGACATATGTGTTAGAATGATGGTTGCGAAATTCAAGGGTTAGCTTTTTTTAATCCTTAAACGGTTAGTCTTTACAATTTTTGGGAGTTTATCTTAATCCAAGGTGATATGTTGACGTATTTAGACGGGTTGGAGAGAGACTATATCAATCCGTTAGAATGATTTTATACTTTCTCGGTGGTAAAGTTTTTTACAAGAAAAAAAACAATCTCACTTGGAGCTATGATTTGTGATCGAGGGTTGGAGAATAAAAAACTAATCTACAAGGTCCAGGTCTAATTAGAACACAAAAAGATCTTTAGATAAAGTTTTAGTTCTTGCTAGTTTCACGATGTGTTTGAGCCTGGGTCAACTAAGAAGAGAGGCTTAAGTGAAAGATGATTAACCGAAGTTTTTCATTGTGTCTCCTGAATTGAATGGTTAGTTATTTGAAACATTTCAATTAGTCCTGGGTTGTTTATAAGGATCGGAGAGTGAATCGACGTTTGAGATTGTTAGAAACTAGTATGTAAGAGGTAGGGGGACAAAATTGTTCTATTTGATATTATATAAATTTTGAAAAATAATTTAAAGTTTTAAAGATTCAAGGATAGCCTTGATGATCTGGTTTTAAGATTTATTTAGCTTGAATTAAATTACGAATAGGCACTGACAAGATTTAAGTTGAAGGTTAAAAGCTTAAGAAAAGGTTATGTTGGAAACTTGAAATGAGATTAGTTTGTGATTTTTGCTAAATTTAGATAAAGATAGAAAGAAGCAACGTTAAAGAAGATAATTTTCCTTGAGAAGCAAGGAGGAGTTTTCCATAAATTTGATGAAACTAACTTTTGAATAAATACTAATTAATTTTTTATTTATTTTGTTTCTTTTTTATTTTAATTTTACAAAAGTTATTTCAAGTTACTGCAGATTTTCGAATTTGAACGATTAATCTTAAATTGGTCTGGTATATTCTAGTGTACATCATTGAGAAGTATATCGCTTGGAAATGAATCTTACTGATCTAAGTTTTTCTTATTCCATGTTAGTGAATGAAAATCTACTGAGTTGAGAACTTTGTAGAGAATTAATCGTTGCAGTCTGCGTCGTTCTATGATATGGGGGCTCGGTCTGCTCTTCAGGTTTTGACATGGTGTTTGCCGTATCCTTTGAAGTAATGGACTAGACTTATTGGGACGTAGAGACATACTTAATAGGTTTTCTTTACTATCGAACATTTTGTGATGTATTTTCGATCTTATTTCAATTTTGAATTTGCTAAATCTAATTTTGTTGAGGTCTTGTTCGAGATTCTTGGTCGCAACCGATGAGTTTACATCCGGGGTGGCTCACTCATAGGGTAATTTCAGATAATGTACACCGTCTGTTCGTCACACTATCTAATGTTTTAGAGATAGTTTTATCAATAAAATAATTGGATATAAATACTAGTTTCAAACTGGTTCCTGAATGCTAACTTGCTACTTTTTTTTATATCGGTGGGTATTCATTAGTAAAAATTACTAATGAATAAAGGTATTGTTAGTAGATCTCTTTAATAGCTAAAACCAATACTTCTTTTCAAGTGTCTGGTTACTATCAAGTTCCTCCTTTGTTATTTTAGACAGTCCATTCAGACTTAATGCAGAAACCACGGTGACTGTCAACGATAGGTTCACCAACTTTACTTTCGTCATAACACAAGTCCACATTTGCCCTAAAACAAATCCAGTGGAACAATGGAGTGAATACGTTATCTCGAACACGATACGAACACGTTAGTTGCTTATACTATTGAAATAGCATGAAAGCAAAAAAGGACAAGTAACCGGCTTGCCCTCTATGTAAGATAAATAATTTCATACAATTCCGAACAAGAAAATTGATTGTTATGCCATTTTATTCTCTTAGTGTATGGACAAATTGCTATTGCTCCAGTTTCCCAATTGAAAATTGAATCGTATACAATTTCTACAAAATTGCTACAGAAATCATTTATCTTTTATCTAGAGCAGAGGCAGATTCAGGATTATCTCGAGGGGGTGGCATTTGACAAACGTTAGCGAAGCAAGCAAATTTTTGAAAAAAAAATCACAAATGGGCACGTCTTGCAACATTTTAAATTTTGTTAACCAAAATTTCTGTTTTTTCGGCGAGTGCTCCCCTCAATACACACATATATACATGTCTTAGAAAAATTTTAGGGTTGATTGGCCCAAAGTGGATGTGATTAAAAAATCTCGAGGGGGAAATTTTGGTTATTGAGGGGGTCGAATTCCCTGATCTAAAGTAGATTTTTCAAGTTTTGACGGGAAAATCTTTTTTTTTTTGAAAAAAGTCTTTTTTGAAAAAAATTTGCATAGAAGAAAATGCCCAATGGTTGTCAATAACGTAGTCCAAACTGAATTTTTAATTCGAATGGATTACAAGGTTATGCTTACCTGATTAGAACCAGATATAGAATTAGTTTATCGGAAGTTTCTTGACGAGGCGGTTTTATAGGAAAAATTTCAAAAATTGAGTCGGTTTTTTTTGTTAAATCAAAAAACAAATTCTGAGCTTAACTGAAACCCTAAGTTTCTTAGGGTCGTGATTCCAAGTGTTTTTTTTTCAAAATTCTAAACAGATCGATGGTCCCAGTAAAATGAAAATCTGCTCTGAATTATCATTTCGTTTAGAAGGCTCCTTTCAAAGAATTTCTAGGCCGGTCAGTTAAAATTAGCTGAAACAAACTAGCACTAAAACGGGATCTTTCAGATAGCGAGGATGCCGACTTCCCGAATGAAGGCTTATGATTGTCGAAGAACCATCCACCAACCCAACCCCACCCTTGATTCTGAGCAATGCTTCAAAAATGATGGCAATACGGCGCAAGGCTCGTTTTTATAGCAGAGCGCAAAAGTGTGCAGGCCCGTGTTTGAATTGCACTAAAACATCTTTTGTTCGTGATTGTTGTAGCTGAAATTCGGATACAAAAGTTGCGCACAAATATATCTGACAAAATCTTTTGTTGTTATGGAACCCAGCAACAAACGTATATATGTAGATATATTATCATCTATTCATATAATCTAATTTAATTATCAAAGTCTGTGGAAGTCAAACTCTGAAGGATCTCGTTTTCAGTGCTACTTTGTTTCAACTAATTTTGGCTGACCAGCCTTAAAGTTCTCTGAAAGGAGCCTTCTAAACGAAATAATCTAATCAGAGAAGTTTTTCTTCTCAATGAGACCACCTTTATAGAATTTTAAAAAAATTGGAATCACCACCCTACAAAACATTAGCTTGCAAAAAAAATGTTTCACTTTTTGCAAAGTTTTGTATGCGGGGCAAAATTTTCACTTGAATTGGGTTCTTAAAGCGCTTCAGTAAAGCTCAGAATTTCTTTTTTGATCTAAAAAAAAAATCGACAACTTTTAAAAAGTTTTTAAAGAAGAAACGCCTCCTCAAGAAACTTCTGAGAAACTAGATCTACATCTGGCTCTAGTCAGGATATCATAACTTCGTAGTCCTAGAAATGAAACAAAAAATTGAACATAACGTTTAAGTCGCCTGTATCATATTTCTGCAGAGCTATAGATATTAAAACAAAAAAAAATGCATCTGAGTACTCATAAAAATCAGTCATTTTATTTCAATCGAAAGAAAATTTCAGTTTGGACTACCTTTTTAACAAAATTGAGCAATTTATTAAATTCATTTTTTCTCAAAAAAAGTTTCAAAAAGAAGAAAAATATTTTTTCTTTTTTCCCCTGAAATTTTCACTTAAGATCAAGTGTGAAATTACCGATTTCGATCTTTTAACCAATCAAAAATCCTTTTATTTTAGGATATCTTTGTGCCGATGCTGTATGCGGGGCAAAATTTTTCACTTGAATTGGGTTCTTAAAGCGCTTCAGTAAAGCTCAGAATTTCTTTTTTGATCTAACAAAAAAATCGACAACTTTTAAAAAGTTTTTATTGAAGAAACGCCTCCTCAATAAACTTCTGAGAAACTAGATCTACGTCTGGCTCTAATCAGGATATCATAACATCGTACTCCTAGAATCGAAACAAAAAAAGTGAACATAACGTTTAAGTCGCCTGTATGATATTTCTGCAGATCTATAGATATTAAAACAAAAAAATGCATCTGGGTACTCATAGAAATCAGTCATTTTATTTCATTCGAAATAAAATTTCAGTTTTGACTATTTTTTCAACAAAATTGAGCAATTTATTCAATGCATTTTTTCTTAGAAAAAAATTTTAAAAAGAAGAAAAACATTTTTCCTTTTTCACCTGAAATTTTCACCTAAGATCAAGTGTGAACTTAGGTAATTCGATCTTTTCACCAATCAAAAATCCTTTTATTTAGGATATTTTTCTGCCGATTAAGCCTAACCGTGTTTCTAAAGTCGTCTTTTGCGGCAATACATGCAGAGAGCTTTGAAGATGCGTGCGCACCAAAAAAAAACTTTTTTTGTCAAAGTTTCCAACAAGTCCCAAAACTGTTTTTTTTAAATTGCCTGCAGCCCAAAGTTTTGGTCAAAGCAGGGTCCCTATAAGGTTTATGGAGTGGCAAGAAAATCAAATTGTTCCATCTAAGAATATAAGGGTGACAAAAAAAATGAAAAAGTTTTTGAAATCTAACTTTTAAAATCAAAATTAGTAAACCTTTTTCTAAATACAAGGGTTTGACATAAAACTATAAATTAGGCATATTCGATAATCATAGTAATTTTTGCAAACCGGGCAACAGTTTTCTGAAGAAAAATTACTACAAAATCAGAAAAGAACTTAAGAAATTCAAATTTTGATTTCAATTTTTCTGCCGGAATTTTTTCATATAGGTTTCAAATTGGTTCTTCTCGACCCTAAAAAAACTTTTGAAATTTTTATAATGTGGTTCGAAACAGAACTGAAATGGCTTTAATATGATATATCACTCAACCCAGTCCATTGGCTATTTGTGGTATCTGATTTTGCGTGGAAAATACAAAAAAAACAAGAAAAACAAGGAGAGCTGGTTAATGTGAAAGTAGCACAGAATGTTCCGACCACAGTCTTAGAAATTTACAAATTCCGTTTTTTTTTCAAATTAGTAGCTTTGTTTTTTCCGCATGGTGTGATAAAAAATCTGAACAAAAAAAAGGCATATTTGACAGTCATAGTAAAAAAAACATTCGGAAAACAGTTTTTGACACAAAAATCGACTAAAAAAATTACTAGAATGACAAAAAATATTGTGAAAAAACTTTTTAAAAAAATTTTCATAAGTTTTTGCTAAAATTTTTGGAAGGTTTAAGCTTTATTTACAAAATGGTGCTAAAAAACCTAAAGCAATTCGTTTTGAGTACAAATAAGTTTTCACGGCTTAAAATTAGCTTAAATATGCTTTTGTAAGCCTACAGGCTCATATCATATTAGTTCGAAATTAGAACAAAAAAAAAATTTCAAACCAGTTTCTCTCGACACTGGGAATGAAATTTTGAAAATTTTAGATGTTGATCGAAACACGATTGAAAGGTCTCTAGTATGGTATATCACTCCAAACATTCCGATAAATTTTTTTGGGACCTTATTTTGCATAGAAAACAAAAAGAAGAAAACTAAAGCACACCCGATCACAAAGTTCCTCCCCATTTTTCAAATTGTCGGAACAAAAAAAAACACATACGAGTACAAAGTTCCTCCCCATTTTCAATGGTTGGAACAAAAGTGCTCTCAGAAAATTTTTCTTTTTTTTTTGCAATTTTCGATGATTATTTTGAACATGAAAAAAATCGAGATTTCAAAATTAAAAAAAAGTATGTTAACTAAGACAACAAGTGCGAAAAAAATATTCAATTTTTTACGATCGTATATTCGTAATCATGGTATACCGGAAAGCATTCGGACAGATCTCTGATGTTGTTAAAGAATTTTGGAAAAAACTAGGTATAAAACATATCCTCACAAGGGTGGGGGATCATCGGAGGTGTGGGCTGGTGGAAAGTTCGGTTCAGACCATTAAACGAAACTTGGGAACAGAAAAACTAGATCCTAATTTTAAAAATTTGAAGTCCACTTTACAACAAATCATCGACGATATTCGGAAAACAAAACATTCTACGTTAAAAACATCTCCTTTTGAGCTACATTATGGGAGAAAGCCTAACACTGAGTTTTCGATAGCGCGTGATAATGTTTGTCATTCTCCTGCTTCAGCGCAAGAACTGGAGAGAAACCTCCTAACACCGGAGCAGCGATCGAGTCAAGACTACAGCCGCGATAGAGCTAAAGTTGTACCCAGTGGAGCGTCGTACAGTCCGGACGTCCCTTATATATTCAAGCCTCTTTTTGGTGTGGACAATCGTGAAGGGGATAGTCAACCATACAAGGCCCTGGAGAACCTTGCAAAGGCGGCTAACATCTGGAAGCAGTGGAAACGGAATGTGCTTCCGCAACAATGGACAAGAGCTTCTCCGCGAATTGGCTGCTCGTATTAGTGACCTTGCGAACTCACTGAAATCGGGGATCACGAAAGTGGCACTGCGTGTTTATGACAATGTTCGAGATACGTCAGCACCAGCACTCTCGCATTCCCAGCACTCTCGCATTCTTCGAGGCCAAAAAGAATCTCACAAACACGTAAATTAGAAAAACTAGTTTTGCAAGATCCTCTAAGAGTCAAAATCTTTCGGAAATTTTCTGATCGAAAATCGGGAAAGCCTCTATTCAAGATAGCTAAAATCAAGATTACTCATGTTACGGACCATACTTACATTACTGTTAAAGGAAAAGTCTATCGGAAAAATCATTTAAGTCTAAGATATAACGCTAACCACCCTAAGCTTTCAGCTACGCCTGGCAAGGTGGAAGAAAGATTACAAAGGCGAATTGCTCCTCGGCCTCAATCTCAGCCATCTACTTCTCCAGTTCAGAGGCAAATCAGCGAACCTTCTAAGGGCAAAGTGATTGATCTGACGGCAGATTCGTCAAGTGAGGACTCGTTTATCACTGGACCGCAGCTTGAGTTGGTGAAGACACCCGTTTCTGCGCCTCAAAGTTTGGCTCCTGCGGATGTTATCCTTAAAGTTCCGATTGTGCAACCGCTGACGAACTCCGCTTCGACGTCATCCGTAGGAGTTTTAGCAACGCCTCATGATTCGTCCACTCAACTAAAGCCACAGACTTCAGGGGATGATCCACAAGTTGCAGTTCAGGACCCGGCGTCCACAGATCATGCGGAGGATCCCGATCATGCTGCTCAAGCCAACACTGACTCCACCCAATCTTCCGGACGGTCAAAGAAACCGACGAGGTTTTTCGGCGATCCTCTTCGCCATTCGGTTAAGAGCGTTACGGAATCCGTACCTGTCGAGCCCTCGCCACAGCTACCAGTCCCAGAACAGACGCTTACTACACCATTCACCCCAACTGTCCGAAAAGGATCTCAGTTGCCTTTCCCGAGGACTAAAGAACAAACTACTCCGTTTAAGATAATCAGAATTGACGAACATGAGAAAAATCCTTAAACTTGAAACTTGCTTAAAACTTTGTTCTATTTTGTTTTCTGGTTTGCTTGGGCCAATTTATCAACAAGTGCAATAGCGCCTTCCTCGTTATTCAACTTTATACATGCCAAAAATTTATACTGTGATTAATTTTCTTCAAGAGGGGGAAATGTCATGAGGCGACCCTCGGTACCTCACTTTATTCTATTTACTTATGTATATCTTATATAACTATGTCTTAATATATTCTAAATATGTTGCAGTATTTTGACTCAAGGACAAATCTAACCAGCCTAATCGTTTGTCACTTGAGAATGTGAAAGGGCCAGTTGCGAAAGCCTGATGTGTGAAATCTAGTGGAAAATATTCATGTGAATCTATACAATCTTTATTCAATCTGGAAACCTTAACTCTATATTCATTATTCTATTCTATCTATTTATATATCATATTTAATTCAGTATTCGAATTTTATAAACAAGTTTTCCCTACACCAACTGAGGGAAATCTCATTGGAACAAAAATGCTCTCAGAAAGTTTTTTTTTTTGCAATTTCCGATGATTATTTTGAAGAGTGATTGAGTTATGTTAAAAATGGAAAAACCGAGATTGCAAAATTAAAAAAAGATTTTGTTTTCTACGAAAAACGTTCAAAGCCAGTTTCTTTTGAGGCGAAAACAATCAAAAGATTTCTGAGTTTTCTTCATAAAGTTTAATTTTTTTTTCTCAAAAAAATGAAAAATACAAAAAAGATTATTTATCGGAGTTTCAATACATATTTGTTTGGATGCGGTCTGTTGTCATAAAATTATCATAATTGATCCGAGAACTCTCGAATAGTGGTTCGTTTCTAAAAAAGTTTCCTTGCCAGTTTTGCCTATCTCTAGGAAAATTCATAGGGATTTAAGAGTGACATTTGAAAACCCTATTGGCAGTGATTCCGATTGTAAAAATAAAACAAAAAGTGGTCTAATTGACAAGAAAGTTTGTTCTGCGTACTTCAGATTTCAGACTATAATAGAAGAATTTTTCCATGAAGCATACCTCACAATTTCAATTCAACTAGACTTTTACCTCTTGGTTTCAACATTTTTCTACTACATTATCGCTCTAAGTATTTGCTTTTCCGATCTAATTTGGTCTCATTTGCTACAAAACAAAGCTGCAGGAAATTATCGACAGCAAAAAGCGCGGAGCAAAACTTCTGTGTTTTTGAATTTTTTCTATCTAACTAATTTCGTCTATCATTCTGGGCTAGTCGCCCACCAACAGACTATTCTTGTTTTTAGTATAGAAAAAAAACAGAAGAAGAGTTCATTTTGTCCGGGTTAATCAAAAGTATCAGGGGAAGTACGGACCATCAAGATTTAGTAATAGTTATGCAGTAAACTTGGTTCTGCGATGACTGATGATCGTTCGTTTATGCGACTACTTTGATGAAGTATGATTTTGATGAAGTCTTAGACAAATGGGTGGAATCCCTCATGCGCGAAGGACCGAATGCGCGAAAAGATAAATCAGCCGATCAGATTTCAGTAATCTAAATTTTGGAAAGAAAGTAAACTTTTCCAGGGACTGGAGTATTGATAATGGCCGAATATAAAAACGGCAGAAATATGCAAAGTTTTCAAAATGTCATTGATCGCCGCAAAATTGGAACAAATTTTACATTTCAAAGGATTCGTAATGAAAGAAGCAAAATATGTCTTCATTCAATTCATTTTTTTGAATGGCAACTGCCTCTTTTTAAAAATTGACCTTCGGCTAATTTTGTCTTCGGTCCTTGGCCCACACGTTTTTTTCGCTCATTCGGTCCTTCGCGCATGAAATGCTCATCCTATTTAGGCCCCCATGATGTCGGCCTGTCCACAACACAGCAAACTACGCAGACTTCAATCGAATTGAATTTGACCACTCAAGATTCCGGATATGGACTTGACTACATTCTTTACCGTGACGATGTCGGGGTGAAAACTTTTTCGTACCCTGGCTACTCTGGCTTGGATGAACCTTGGAGTGACACAGGTGAAACGTTGGGAAAAATTATCAATGGTTTAATACGTGAAGATTGTAAAGTGAAGGTATTACGTTTGTTTTTGGTTCTTGGTAAGCCAATGGTAAGAGTTTTTGCACAGATTTGAGATTTTCGTCTATCATTTTTAATAAAGATTTTTCTCTTAAAACTTCAAAACACGATAAGATTTGATCTAATTCGAGCTATGAATTGTTTTATATGGTGTTCTAACTACTTAACGCCATGCTCGATCTACTGAAATCTATAATATACATAGGGTCTTCCAAAAGTATATTGATACATAGGTTCTTCCATCTTCATAATTACTATTGAGTTTTTTTGAAAATTAATTTTAATACTTGATTGTTTTTCTTTATGCCTATCTAGGGCGGGATTGTTTGTGAATTTTGACTAAATACCAGAAAACGTGTTTAAAAAAGATCTTTATTTTTGTTTAGTTTTTGAGGCCAAGCTTTAAGTTTAAAAAGGAAAGGATATGAATTTTTAACTTATAGCTATAAAGCAAATTGCATAAGCATAAAATTATTACAAACATGCCCTTCTTTGACCGAGTGTTTGACTACAAAACATTTTCAGACTTGTCTCCGGGAATTAAATACAAGTTCCAGTTGAAAGCTGAAGATTCGTTCAGTGGAATAACTGTGGTGTCAGATTATGTCACTGCCTGCACTAACCCACCCGACCCGATCCAATTGGTATGCAGCTTGAATGCTGAAACAATGATGACCGAGATCCATTGGGAATTTCCTCAGGGAAATTACGCAGCCAATCTTGAATCTCAAATCAGCAAGGATGTCAATCAGCGTAAATAATTTTTTAATTTAAAATCGGTCTTTAACAGTGTCGATAAGTCGTGAAGACTAATTTTATTACATTACCCGGGTCAATTTATGCGATTTATGTCGCGACCGAAGTTGATTGAAGAAATAAACATCGTGCAACCAAAAATTAAAATTACGCTGAGGTTTAACTAGCGCAAAGTCGCAACACAGGTCACGCAAATTTGCGTGATTGCTGAAAACGGTCGCACAAAGTCCTGCAAAGTCGCATCATGAAACGCGCAATGGAGAAGTATGGGTTTCGCAAAAAAACAACAGAAACTGGGCAAAATCGTGTAAAGTCTTGTATAGGTATGAACTTCACCAACCAAAAAATAATATAGAGAAAAATTAAAATCTTCAGTTTTTTTAAAATCATTTTTGATTTAAAATTTTGAGCAACCATCATTGATTTTTGAGCACAATTCAAACAAGAGGAGATTTACCGCAATCTCAAAGTTTTAACGGGATCTTTTTGAGATTTTGAGATACAAGGGTTAATGCGGTAGGAATTAATGCAATTACTACAAATTTTTGCATGAATCAATTTTTTAAGTAAATATTTTAGTGCAAACTTGAAGATAAACCCTAGGAATGGTTAGGACTGTTTTTAAAAACACGTGTTCACAACAAAAAATTACAAAAAACTGCGTCTATAGCTGTGCCGTGAAGACAGATATTGGTATTTTTGTGAGTGTAGTTCAGATCACTTGCTCTTGGCCGATATAAAAATTAGTTTAATTTCTGAGTAAAATTTTTTTCATAGTGATTCTCACTTGAATCTGACAAATTAGTTTAGTTTTTGTTTCAGCTTGAATAGAAACAAAGTAGATGGGGTCACACGATGTTTCAATTTAACTCTCACACACTAAAGTACATTTACAGCCAATCTGCTAACGCTGAAAAGCTGGAAATATTAAAAGTACTCGAAACATAATAACTAACAATTGCATGAAAAGGGTTTAAGCCCATAGACGATGAAAAAATTTTCGGCATAAAAAACGTTAATATTCTTTGTATAATGAAAGAATTGTAAATTGTATAACTAAAATGAATGAATTAAACAAAGCGACATTTCATACCCTGGCGAATAGATCACTTTTGTTGTTTCTATTTAAAAAATGATTAATTTGATGGTTTAACAAACAAAAATTTTTAAGAAAAATCCAAATCCTATAACATAAATTCACTGGCTGATGATAGCCAATTTTGGTAATTTAGGACATGTTTTGGAGCATATGAACGATCGATCAAACCATAAAAAAGTCAGAGCATTGCTACTTCGAGAAGAGATCTTTTCGTCTTGCACTTCTGGATGTGTTATCCTCGATTTGAGAAAAGGAATCCCGTACCGAATTTTTCTCACAATTTTCTGGTCATACAATTGTCAGACACTAGCTGTTTTCCAGCTCTGTGCATATCTGTTTCACATGTGATCACTTCGGCCGTTTGCAGACTATACCTGAGTCAGACAAGACTATACCTCAACAGACATGACTACACCTGGTCAGACATGACTATACCTGATCAGAACTGAATATACGTGAGTCAGAAATGACTATACCTGGTCAGACATGACTATACCTGGTCAGAAATGACTATACTGCTTCAGGTCTGATCATGTACAAAAAATTAGCGCCATATAACGGCCGAAACGCAGATGGCTCTAATGAAGTCCACTGTAGTTTAACGATAGAATTACAAGCTGGCAGGGTGTTTTGATTAGGCAAAGAATCATAATGACTGCCAAAGAATTGTTTCGAAAGCGATCTAGCTCCCGAACCAGTCGGATATTTTGAAGGTTTTTTGGTCCGAGCTGTTGTTTCTTTGTTGTGACTGAGGCATGTAGAAAAAAGATTATTTGTTTCAGTTATCGGTTCTCGGCCTTTTGGCTGAAACCATGGGTACTATCTGTTCTTGTCAGCTTAATATCTGACATGCTGGGCATTGCCTGGCACCAATTTTAAACTGATTTTCGCTTCTTGAGTTAACAACGAAGCTTGCTTTAGTTGACTCACGGACTGTCTCGGTCTTACACTACCATAATGATATGTCTGCTTCAGGTCTGATCATGTTATTTCAGGCATGATTATGTCTGATCCAGGTGTGATCATGTAAAGTCAGGTATCATCCTGCCTGCTTCAGGTTTCATCATGTAATTCCAGGCATGATCATGTCTGGGCCAGGTATGATCATGTAAATTTATAAATGATCATGTCTGCTTCAGATATGATCATGTCTAAAAAAGCGACATGCCACAGGAGTGATACAGATTTTCTCTGTTTTTTTTTGATGTCCAGATTTGAATTAAACTATTAATTTCAGTACGGAATAAGCAAACTTTTTCCGTCTGTTACCTACTCAATGACGCACTTTGATCACTATAGCACACACTTTGGCTTAGGTGTTCAAATTTTCTTCTTAAAAACAAACTGCAGGTCTATATAAATAAATACATATATACACACCGCATAATGTTAAGAAATCACATATGGTTGGGTCGAAATAAATTTGGTGCATGAGTTATTCACAATTGAGCTTTGCATTTTTACATTGTTTCACAGGCAACGGTTGGTTACTTTTTATATCGTTTGGTCGAAATAAATTTGTAGCATGAGTTATTCACAATTGAGCTTCGCTTTTTTACATTGTTTCACAGGCAACGGTTGGATAGTATATATATTTATAAATCTAGAAAAAAATAACTCAATTAGATAAATTGAAAACAAAAATTTAAACAAAGCCTTAGATTTCCATTCTTGCTTGAATTATCGATCATCTCATATTCCACACTTGAATTTAAACCCATATCACAAAAAAAGAAGACAATTTTCCAAAAAAACTCCTAACTTCCAAGATGCGCATTATCTGGGCTATCATATAATTTTTTTCCTTTTTTTTGAAGAAAATCTTCACATTAAAGATAGCAGTGTAGTTTCCTTATTAACAAAATCGAATCAAACATTTATCAACATGAATGAGACGATGTTATACAGATTATTTTATAAAAACTAATGAAAAAAAACTAAGGACCATTCATAGGAGAGAAATTTGAGGGACAAAATTGTAGAAGAATGATGTACCTAGAAAGTTAAAGTTAATGTTCGGACTTTCGTAACGAAAGTACCGGAAGATTTGCGACTTCATTACGAAAATACCGTAATATTTGTGCTCGGGCCGTTTTTTCTTCAGACCATTTTGGACGTTTCAACTAGCCGCTTTTGACGGTATTTTTTATATATCACTCAAAACATTTTGTTGTCTTGAGCTCAATTTCTTCATAAATACATCAAAATAAAAAGTCCGCATGAAAGGTGAAAGTTAATGTTCGGACTTTCATAACGAAAGTACCGGAGGATTTGCGACTTCATAACGAAATTACCGTAATATTTATGCTCGGGCCGTTTTTTCTTGAGACACATTTAGACGTTTCAACTAGCCATTTTGACGGTATTTTAAATATATCATTCAAAATATTTTTTTTGTCTTGAGCTTAATTTATAATAAATATTTCACCTGAGTTTTTTTTTCATAAAGTTATGGGGTTTTAATGGTTTCCATTCTGGCCATTTTGGGACAAGTAACGCGCGATATATTTCGCGCTATTAACGCGTAAGCGGAAATTTAATCTTACAAATCATTCCAAATTGGTTGAACGAAGCTTATCACTTTGTATTTTATGACGAGTGGGGGGATCATTTTCTCAAAAAAATCTCAAATTAAAAAAAACTTCCTTTTGTTTTATTATATTTAAATTTTCGTGTTATAACTGCTTTATAGACTTAAAAGGCAGTCGGAGCATTCAGAGTTTTGCCCTGATACGTGCAGTCTTGGTCTATTTTGTTCTATGCCCGTTTCCCTGAAGTTTTTTGGTCAAAATTATCCAAAAAGTGCGTGGAATGCCTTCTTTGACCTCTTTTTTTTGAAAATTTTGCCTGCGCAGCATAAACTGGGCCGAAGCAGGGTCTTTTTAATGCTTTAAGAGAGCTCGAAAAATCAATTTGGTCATTCTAAAAAAAGTCGAGCTAATTTTTCTAAAATTTTATTATAAAATTCCCCCACAAGAAAACCCAAATCCGTCCCTGCATAGAAGGTCTCTCTTTCTTTCCCCACCACATGCAAAATTTTACATGTAAAACATTTGTTCACATTGTTCTATTGCTAAGGAAAAAGAAAACCGACTTATGGACTGATCAGGCCATGACAAACATAATTGACTCTCATAATTGTTCATAATTGACTTTGTAAAACCTTTCGTTAAAAATGATGCTCATGTGAGGCGGGGGCCGGAAGTAAAAAGAGCCAACATAAGTAATTAACTTCCAATACTCATCCCTTTCCGCCCCTTCTGAGACCGTCCAAACTTCAGGTCGGTTTGATTTGATGTTTGTTTTAGCGATCCACATAGCCGGTGGGACTACATACAGCTGGCCTGTGTCTCTGGACCCCAGTGCCAGTCACATATTTTCAGCTCAGTTTTTCTTCACTTGCCCAAGTGGTGATGTATGTGCGAAATATAGTAACTGGGTGTCTGTATCAGTTGAGGCTGCTACTCTTGTCTTGTCCGCCGTACTTCTGAATCGATCGACCGTTTCAATCAATCTAGACTACTTTCAAAACTACAAAAACGTCAGGTTTGAAACAATCACTAAACACAGGGGCGGATTAGGGGGGGGGGGGGGGGGGGTTGGGTGGGGTATGTATGGGCGGACGCTTCCTTTCTTTCTCGGGGATTTGACCCCTTGCCGACCCCTTTTGAGATATCTTTTTTATTGACGGAACATAGGGCCTTCGACGCCAATATATGCTAATTTTTAGGGGAGAGCACGCGCCGAAAAAAAGGCGATTTTTTCGGTCAAAAATTTTAAAAATGTACAAAAACGTCTTTTTTGGCATGTTTTTGGCATGTTTTTTGGCATGAAAATCAATTTGGTCGAACTAGAAACAGGTCGCAAAGTTTTCGAAATATTTAAAAACACGCCCCCCCCCCCCCCCCCTCGAGAAAATCCTAGATCCGCCACTGACTAAACATGCACCTCAGAAATCTGAAAACTGAGTAGTTTGATAGGTAAAAATGTGCATGTTAGACAACTGATTTATAAAATTGTTCGGTGGCTGTGAAAAAAAAAACAGAAGTTAAAGCCAAACAAATCAAGCTCTGGCAGCTGGTGGCTGGGCTAGAAATAGCTAAATGCGGAAAATCAGGTGATATTTTACAAATGGTGCAAGGTTCAAATTAAATTCTTGAATAATTTCTTGTTTCTTTGAACAGTATTTTTATTCTGTTTCAAAAGCTAAAGGTTTTGGCAAAAAGAGTATGAAATATGATTTTTTGAATAACAATTCATCTAGCAGAGTATTATGTTATTACAAAACAATCTTTAAAGCATCAGCTGTTTATGCAATTAAGTTGGTTTTTTCATAACATTACTGTGCCAAATTAAAAATCATTCAAAAATTCTAAAAAGTTTTACTTCTTTCGCCAAAAAACTTGGCCTTCTGAAATAAATCATACATACTATTCAAGGTAACAAAAAGTGATTTAAGTATTTATTTTGAATCTTGCACCGCTTGTAAAATATCACCTGATTTTCATTGAAAATGAAACTGCTATAATGAAATGAACTATAGTTCATGAATTTAATACATACAAACTACTCAAACACTTCTGAAAAATACCACGTATTCTAGCATTCATTTTCTGGATATTTTCAAGTAGTTTACCTCTAAAAACCCATTCCTTTCCTTTAAATTATCTATTATTTTTAAAGTATGAAACGATCTGGTATTTCAGGCTTTTCGTAGATGGTATTATGAGAGATCCTCTTCCATCTGTTTTTCCATTGAAAATTAGTGGCTTGGAAGCCAACAGAACCTACGTTTTTGAAGCGCAGGCAACCCAGTTTTCACAAGAGGTCCAGAGCAACTCTGTTTCGGTACAGACTCCAAATGCAGGTGAGCGAACTTACCATAATCAGAGAACTGAGTTGGAAAATATTGGTAACCTTGATTTACCAACAATTCGAACTAAATAACTTTTGTTGGGCCCAAACAGGCATAAGAATAGAGATTAAATGGAAGAACCACAAAATTTTACAAAAAAAAAATACCTCAAAACGTTACGATATTTTCGCAATTTTAAAATTTTCAAGAACCTTATACGATATTTTCGCAATTTTAAAATTTAAAATTTTGCGATTAAACTCCCAGGCTAACTAAGAAAAATTATTCGCGAGAAGCCTCTTATAAAGCCCACTAACTTCTGGAAGTTTAACATCTTCAAAACTCTGCACAAAACGCTTGAAATTCGGTTGTAAGCAAATATTTTGATTTTAATACAGTGAAAACGACCTATTTTGGCTGTGGAATATGAAATTCTAGGCTTAACTAGGCAGCTCTTAAAGCCCGACCCCGCATATTTCCCGCTACATATAGCCATTTGGGGGTCTTGTTGAGAACCGTGTTCCTAAAAATTAACCCCAATTAGCTGGGAGAGTTTATGTAGATCCGTTTCAGTGATTCCCCGATTTAAAAGGATTGCCTAGGATGGAAAGGAGTGAAATGAATTGACTGATAATGGGATGACGGTTACCGTTGTGGAATTTGTGGAATTGTCCTCCATGGGTAACGGGTTGCTTCCCATCTTAAAGTTGAACTTCCGGGATAACGTTTCCCCGGCATGAAAACTAATGCGTCTCATCGATCCGTCGTCGTCGATCATAATCGGACAAAGAAATTGGCCGCCGTTGCAAGCACAGCTGAGGGCGCGAGAATGGTTTCGTAGCGAAATTGAATGAAATCCCAAGAATGCGTCTTGCTCCAAGCGTACCGAACTACCCTGGTGCTCTAATTCGTTTTCGTACAAATCCTGCAGGATAGTAGCAGCGTCTTTGTCAGGTAATGCGACTTTCCCGAAGCCGTAGAGTGTTTGGTGTGTTGCGGCGGAAAGCATTTCTCTCTTTTCGGGGCATGCCTTTACGGAGCACTCACGGAGTATGCCTTTACGATTGTTAGATCTGGCCACTAGAAAAACGTCAATTTTGGAATAATCATAAAATTTCATCTTAAAGTAATTTCAGGTCGAACACAATTTTACAATGCGAAATTCAAGCACGTGTACTTCAGGTTAATACTCGTTAACATAAATAGATAGGTAAACGATGAGTCACGCCTAGACTAGATCAAGTTTGGAAGAATACGTCACTCCTTTGCCGGATAAAATCGGCGAGCCACTCCCTCCAAATCGGGACTAATTATGCAAACTTGTTGAAACTCAGAGGGGGTAAAACTAGGCACAAATTTGGACCCTCAGACCCATGGGGGGCAAGTGATAACGGTCACGGGAGGTGTAAGTTGCCCTATCAGAACTCGGCAACTAGCCTATTTATTGGGCTCAAAGTTTAGAAGGTTTTAGGCCCAGTTGATAGAAGGTTAAGTTTAGAACCGCAAACCCCCATGACCCCCACTCCCGTCTTTATGCCCTATTTAAACAAACCCACCATTAACTTCCGGACGTCGACTCTCGGGCCCATTGATCGCAGGGAGCCTAAACTTTGAGCCAAAATAGGTAATGGCGAAATAAATCATGTGTTATAATACGTACTATTTCCAACGGTTGGATCGCAAGTGTTTATCACTTGAAAAAACACCCTTCAAGACCGGAAATAGGCAATTTACGCAAATATTGAGCAAGGGTATCTTGATTTTATTGCAAAAATAGATATTAAATACAAACACCGGAAAAATAATCTTCTGAATAAAACCCCTCCGGTGACTCATTCAAGCGTTAATAGCTTTTTTCTGGAGAAAATGATAAAGGACCTTAAAAATGGGATAACTTGGGAAGTAATAACTCCTGAAAAAAGGAATTGGTCAAGTTACTATTAACTAGAAGGAAAGTTATTCATTGAGAACTGAAGCAGAATTTGATATAGATATAGCTTCCAAATTGCAACCCTGGGGTAGTAGAATAATTTTAAAATGGACTTGGTATGGCAAATGATCTAATAGTAGCATAACAAGAAGACTTAAGACAAGTTATTCCAGAGGAAAATCGAGGGTCGGTGAAATTACTTAGCTCACTGGATGTGACTTTTTGATTTAGTTCGACTCTTAAAAGGCAAACTAAATTCCCCTAATAGCTAGAACGTCAAGATTGGAAATGAGTGAGATGGAAGTTTTAGTTGCTGGAAGTGATCTTGTTAATTATGAAAAGGGTATTTCCATACCTCCGGGAGGTCGTAATATTAATGGGTTAAAAATTAAAAAGACCTTAGGCTCATGAATAAACTTAGCATGGTTTAGAGGTTGAGTTGAACTCGAGGACTGAAGTTCACGGAGGTGAGGGATTAAATGATTAGGATCCTATGACCTTCGTTTACTTGGTCAAGTTGTGACACTTACCACATATCGGGTGTCTAATAAGCGTGAATAGATTGATAGAAAAAACGGAACTTGGCGCAAGACAGTGATGACAGGGGGAGGGACGTGGTCAAAAACCATGTGCGTTTGATTCAGCTAAGCAGATGTCAAGACTGATATGTAATGGCGTGACTTAACTAAAACGAAGTCTCAAGAAAGATAAAGAATTGGAGAGGCTTCAAGAATCAGAACAACATCAGAGTGAGGACAGTGGTTCTTGAAGCTTACGAAATCGGTTAAAACAGCTCATAGGAGTAGTGCCCGGTATAGGTACTATTAATTTTAGCGAGGCGAACTGAGTCTTTGTTTGTAATTTTTGCGTTTAGTTAGTCAATTAGGGTTATCTATAGAGAGAGAATCGGTTAGTTGGAAGTTAAATTGCCATTAAGCAATGTTGTTGATAATTGGCAGATCCGCTCCTTCGGATTAGAGTGATAGGTTTAATTCTGACCACTCAGAGCTTCTGTAATTGGACTTATATTCATCGAAATTAAATTACAATTGGAAATTCTTGCGATCGTTTCGCGCGGACGAGACTGCCCTATGGGCAGCACACTGTACTTGATTAGGTTACTTGCCCCCTCTGTGTACTGCTCTTAGCGTTGTCTGGGGACCACATTGCGGTGTTGTTACGAGAGAGAGACAGAGAGAGAGAGAGAGAGAGAGAGAGAGATAGAGAGAGAGAGAGAGAGAGAGAGAGAAAGAAAGAGAGAGAACAAACCTAGGGAAGCAATCCACTAAATCTACTTTGGCTATCCAGCAAAATATTTTCTTATTCTTATTTTTGGAGATTTTTTCTTCTGGAATTTTGTTTGGTTTTTGCAAGGCTTTCTTGCAATATGTTTTTTAAAAAGTAACTTCCAAACAGTAAATTTTGATTTGCTACTTTTTGCAAAAGAATTTGCATTGAACTCTGAGCAATTTGTTTCGCTCAGTTTTTGCCTAATTTTAATTCAGTTTGAAAAACTGTGTTTAAAATTGTAAGCTAAGTTTGATTCTTGTTCACATAAATAAAATCTGAACTAAATAAACACATCGGCAATATTCAAGATAATTTTTTATGCAAGCATATTATCGTCGCAAAAAATGTTACTTCCATTGGAAAATCTTTCTTGAAAAAAAAACAAGTATTTTCTAGTAGGATTTTGAACCATCGCAATGCATGAAATTTAGATTTCCCTTGAATCAAAAATCACCAGTCTGCGGTCGATCTAAGATTTTCTCAAAGGGGGCAGATTTTCAAAAAAGTGGACAACCTTTTCATTAATTCGACCAAAATAATTTTTCGAGCACTTCCAGAACAATATAAATACCGTTTTTGTGCTTTTTTGGGAAAATTTGACCAAAAAGTTGCGTTTTTGATCGGAGCGAGCTCCCCTTTAAAATTAGCATATAATGTCGTCGACGGCGCCTATAGTAAAATTTTAGGCTTGGTCGAACGAAATTGGATGTCATAAAATAATACAAAACGGAGGGCTCTTTGATTGGTGAGAGGGCCAAATCCCTGATGAGGGGGAGGGGAGTTGTCCGCCCCCGCCATCATTAATTAAATCCGTCCCTGCCATGAGTACCCCTGTCTTTGAAATAAATTGAGTGCGCGTCAAATACTGACCAATTTAATTCTTTCCAACCAAAAATTAAGAAATTCAGTCCAATTACCACAAACCCTTCCAGTAGATCAAAATCAATCAAGACTGGCGTACTAAGGAAAAACGATGAATAGCCTGAGTGCCATTCATTGTCGATGAAAAATTTTTGAATAAATCGATGAACAAAATACTTTATTTTTAATTCAATTTCCTAATTGAACCCCCACACGCTATGGAAAATATTGAGTGAAAAAATTTTCATCTGGTAACATAATATTAAGATCATATGACTGTCGTCTGTCCAAGTTTTGTTTACCGTAAACCATTGTTGTATGAAAACTGTTGACATTAGCGCTACCGATTTTTTCTTTTTGATGCTAATGAATAGCCCTAGGATTTCACCAGCAAATACTTCATAAAATCAGACTGTTGCATAAATTTCAGATTTCTACTAACGCGGTGAACACCAATTAAATAGCTACGAATCGGACAAAAGCAAGCCGAAATTGATACATTTCAGCGGTGAATAAATCGGCGTCAGTGAGAACTGGAAACTCAGATGAGTCCAACTTGGCCCCAATTTTTGGCTCTGTCGTGGGATGCGTGTTGGCACTGATCATTTTGGCTGTTCTGGTGGTTGCAATTATATTCCTGTGTCAAAATAACGAAGGGTATTTTAAAACTTTTTTCTGCTTTGAACTCAAGTCTCTATATTTTATTCTGCTCGATTAATGAATTGAATGTATCGTTTCAGAGGCGCTGGTGGAAGCAATCAGAATGCAAAGTCAGTTGACACTGAGTAAGATCTTTACCTTAACAGAACGAACCAACTTTTTAAGAAACTTTTTGTACTAAAAAGGGGTGTAACCAAAACTGAAATGTTTCAGGTACCAAGAACCCGCTTATTTTCACCGTACTGGTCTCCAACAAAGCAACTCACCAACTGCACCCAATTTGTGCAACAACCTGAACTATGTTACAAACCCCGTCATCACGAACCACGACAACCCAAATATGAACTATCTTAACGCTGAAAATAAGAATCCGGATCAGGGATACGATAACCTCTACCTGCAGAGCCAAGAACATACTCCTAATAATGACGGATACCAAAATTATTTGTGCAACAACCTGAACTATGTTACAAACCCCGTCATCACGAACCACGACAACCCAAATATGAACTATCTTAACGCTGACAATATGAATCCGGATCAGGGATACGATAACCTCTACCTGCAGAGCCAACAACATACTCCTAATAATGACGGATACCAAAATTATTTGTGCAACAACCTGAACTATGTTACAAACCCCGTCATCACGAACCACGACAACCCAAATATGAAATATCTTAACGCTGACAATATGAATTCGGATCAGGGATACGATAACCTCTACCTGCAGAGCCAAGAACATACTCCTAATAATGACGGATACCAAAAAGAGACGCTTCCTTCTCCTGATGACAACCAATCTTCGTATGTGACATCCCCACCTCTTATGGTCGAGGACAATGTCTACTTTGCTGTTCAGTCTAACAACAATGCGGATCAACTGAGCAATCTCCCCCCCGTAGTGACCAATTGAGCTGTCTCCCCCGAGCAAAAACGGTAAAACGCTACAAAAAGACGTCAGCAAACGCAAAATAGATGGTTGATGTGTTCGTAGCACGCAATCAAGAGACCGACTGAAGTTTGTTTTATATGAGTATCGAGAAAAATTTTGAAAAAGAAAAAATTGAAATTTATTTCACTATTTTCTGCAAGTTTCTGTTTGCGCGACCATTGCCTCATCGAACAAAGCGACGTACCAAGATTGGTGCTGTAGCCTTGTATCTGAATATCAAAAACTGTTCGCCGCAGCACGTTAATAACTGTTTTTTTTTTCATTTAGGACAGAAAAAAGGTCGCCTCAATCTTATTGATCCTTTTTTCACTCTGAATTTATTTTTTGAGCTTTGATATTGTACATTTTGGTCTTTCAATTGATCCAACAATGCTGATACCAAACAAGTGGAGCCAAATGCATAATGCATAACATGGTGTAAAACTCGTGTGTATGAAACGAAAAAAAACTTCTGATTACAAAATATTTTATCTTACCGTTTACCCCAAGTTGACAAAAACGCAGTTTTTGCATGAGCCATTGGTTTTAATGGGTTGTTTACGAAGATCAAACGTATTTGATTTTAGATAGTTACAATTCATACCAAATTTCGAAAAAAATTCAGGCGGTGTCAATATTATTTGCATTGCTCACGATGCACTGCATTGCTCTCACGTGAAACGATAAAAGGAGCCACGTATCGAACAGGTGATTTCTCGAAGAATAAGTAAAAATGCATATATAATAAAAACAGGAAAAAAATTACGTTGCTTGTTTTTGGGTTTTACCCACAAAAGTTTGCTCCAAATTTGTAATTCTACGTCAAAAATTTCATCAGTTGACATCATGGAAGCAAGGACTTTTTTTCTTAGATTTAAATTTTTGTAAAAACCATCACCCACACGCCATATAAAGTACAAAAGGATAAAATTATCTCCTTGTAACAAATCATTTATGGCAAATATGTTTCTTTCAACCAATTTGTAACGATTTCTAAGACGGATTAAATCTCCGCTTACGCGTTAATAGCGCGAAATATATCGCGCGTTAATTGTCCCAAATTGGTCAAAATGACAATTTTTCTAACCCCCATAACTTCTTCAATAATGATCACAGGTGAATTATCATTTCAAATTTAATCTCAAAACAACAATACTTTTTGAATGATATAAAAGAATTCCGTCAAAGTGCATAGTAAAAAAAATCAATACTTGTCTGAAGAAAAAAATTTAGCACAAATAGTCTGTTACTTTCGTTACAAAAGTTGGAGCAAAAAACAACACCGACTAATGTACGGTGAAACTAAATTCTACACAACCTACACAACATTTTTGCTTGGGCCTGTTATTTTTTCTTCAAACTAATTTCGAGCTTTCAACTAAGCTATTTCGATGAAAAAATTTTACAGATTCTAAAAATTTTTCTAATTGAGAATTCAAATAGAAAAAAAATATATCTATGATCGTTATTCGAAAAGTTGTCAAAATTCAGAAACATCTATTTTTGCCAATTCGAGAGAATTAGTTTGCCATTTATAGGGTTCTTATAACTTGGGTAAGCAGCAGGTTATAGCGTTTCAAATTGCATTGAGGCAAACTATTTGGTGTTGTTAGTAGGACAGACGCTACATATATCACTTTGTAGTTCATAATAGCGTGCGGGCAAAATTGGAAAAATGTAAAAAAAAACATATTTTCATTTCTCTTCAAAGCAACAAACGTTTCAATTGACCTTATGTAATGTCGCTGATTCTTTTTTTGCGAAACTCAGATTTCGGTTGAGATTGTTACCAGGAGAAACGCATGCAGTAAAGTGAAGGTTGATGAGTAGTACGTAGTTTGGTACTATATAACAAATATGATAAGTAGAAAAGCAAACAAACAAAAATATTCGAATTTTGAAAAATTATTGCCGACTTCTACAAGATTGTACCAGTCGGGATAACACGCATCCCACAAATGAAACTGAGGAAGCTAACTGTATGAAACTCATAGGAGGGTACTAAAGATGATTTCGACCGCGCATGCAAAACTCCGAATCCTTACGATTCCCTTGGTGCAAACGACAGCGATTGGAATGAGACCTAAACTTAGTATTTGATAGAACTATTTGCGAAAAGCGTAAGTTTGATTTGTCAGAACCCACTGGACTTGTACTTTCGATCTTATGCCCTAAGCAAATAGTCGCCGCTTCAATTTCCGGATGTCATTTCTCGGGTTTCATTGAACGGAGGGAGCTCAAAACTCGGGATATTATAGATTGTGACGAGTGCCATCATGTGTTATAGTTTGAATTAAATCAAAGAGCTGGACCGGAGGTTTTCAGCAATTGAAAAAATTACCTCTTAGACCGGAAAAAAAGAGTTTACGCAAAATAATGAGCGGGGCACGATGGCTTTATGGCAGCATAAATAGAATAACTTGGAAAATAAATAGTGGATATGGATGGATGAGATATTAAAGTATTATTGGGATATGGATGAAACTTTGTAAATAGTACCCCTTAATATTCTAAACCCAAAAATGGAGAAATGACTGTGATTGAGCTAAGAAGAGAAACTCAACTAAGCAAGTTAGAAGAAGTTGAAGAGGAAAATGACAGTAGTAGAGATTTTGCTTGGTAAGTAGAGCTCCTAAATAACTAAAACTGAAAAGAGATTTACTTAGCTCTCCGTAGGTGACTTTTTGGCAAAACTTGACACCTAATAAACAAATTAAGTTTCCCCAATAGCCAAAAAGTTGGGTTTAAAATCGAGTATAGATAAAAACTTCAGATTCTTGGAATAAAATAGCGACCTATAAAAAGGGTCTTCTTCTTCCCCCGGAGAACGGAACGTTAACGGGATACTTAAATGAACACCTTTAGAAATTGTTTAAGTAAGCATAAAACAGAATTTTAGGAGCGACCGTATCTCTAACTATAACCAAAACTCGAGAAGAAAAACATTATAGAAACCGGAAAAAAGCTTATCCTTTTGCTATTGAAAAGTGTAGTCAATTCTCAGTTAGTTTAAGAATAAAATTAGCTATTGACTAGAATAGCTGGTTCTCGGTTTGTTAGAGAACAGAATAGCAGAGATAGAAGGTAGCGAGAAGAGTGATTCTTGAAGATCACAAGATCAAGGCAATTGTGATCCGTAGAGACACTATTAATGATCCGTAGAGACACTATTCCAGGTCAAATTAGTAGTTGTCTGGAATTCCTGTGTGTAATTGGGTAACTAGGGTTCTCTAGAGAGATAGAGTCGTTTGGTTGAGTTAGCTCTAAATTACATTGCAATTAGGAAATTGTGCTGAGAAATTGCGGACCCTTTCCTTTTGATCAGATTTTTTTCTGGCCACTTAGAGCCTTCTGTATTTGGACGTATACTATCTGATTTCAATAACCACTGAATAATCTTGCGATTGTGTCGAGCGGACTAGACAGCCCTTAGAGCAGTAAATAAAAGGGGGCAAGTAACATAATAGCAAACATGATAGTTGCCACCAGTTTAATCCTTTCGCGATTGTAGATAGTACTGAACCTCGGTTGCCCCGCTGAAATCATTGCCAACGGGACCACTTTGCGGTGCCGTTAGAAGAAAGAAAGAGAGAGAGAGAGAGAGAGAGAGAGAGAGAGCGAAAAGAGAGAGAGAGAGAAATAGAGAGGAAGAGAACAAACCTAGGGAAGAAATCCCTTGAAATTTTTACCTTAAAAGATTATGAAACATTCAGGGCTTGGCTCTGATATACGAGCAATTTTTTATCGCGGCTTAAACGGAATTTTTATGCTTTGTGTGGTTTTGTAATCAGTCAACTTTCTGCGGTCAAAATAACAGTTTTTTAACAACAAATTACTCCATTGAAGATATCAACTACGTGAAGGCAAATGAAAAAATTACTTATCTCGATCATTTTTTGCACATCTCTGGGAGTTTGAATGTAGCCATTTTCGGTCCATACTCTGGAACAATTTATTTGCGATTTCAAGTTTTTGTTCATAATTCGGAAAACGGAACACAAATTAGTTATGTGTGGCAATTCATCCCGCACAACGAAACCATTCTAAAATAAAATAAGGCTAGCTAATTGGTCGTATTAGTTTTGTACGACTCAAAATTTTACAGTTGATCCTTGCTATCGCTCAAAATGTATAGTTTTTAAAATTTTCTCTTGCTAAAAACTATTCATTATGGAGCTGTGGAAACTTTCAGGGCTTTGGCTTGATAAACGAGCAGTCTTATTAGCCAATTATATTTTGCTCATATTGCAGCACTGTAATCGTTACCTAAAATTGTAATTTGTCAAAAAATTCTCGTGTAAATATTTGAAAACAATTAAGAGACCGTTGGAACATTCTGGACGTTGCCTTGATGTACGATCAGTCTTGTTATACTCTATGTTATAACTAAAAAAACTGTCGCTTAATTTAATTAGTTAAAATCAGACGGTTATAAAACATAAAATTATTTGAATATAATAGAATAAATATGGATTAAATCGATATTATTTATCTCAAAAAACTTAATTCATTTTTAATCGAGTATCACCAATTAAATTTAATTGATTTCCAACTTTTTCTTTTTTCTTAGTTCAAACTAATTATTTTGAGAGATTATAACCTGATCTAATTGCCTATAGAAATTTCAAATCAGATGTTTGGAAATTTCGACTTCTTTTTGGAAAAGCGTATTTGTGAACAATTAAGGGACCGTTGGAACATTCTGGACGTTGCCTTGATGTACGATCAGTCTTGTTATACTCTATGTTATAAGTAAAAAAAACTGTCGCTTAATTTTATTAGTTAAAATCAAACGGTTATAAAACATAAAATTATTTGAATATAATAGAACAAATATGGATAAAATCGATATTATTTATCTCAAAAACGTAATTCATTTTTAATCGAGTATCACCAATTAAATTTAATTGATTTCCAACTTTTTCCTTTTTTTTTAGTTCAAACTAATTATTTTGAGAGAATATAATCAGATGTTTGGAAAT